CACTGGGGTTCAATAAAAATTTATTTCTTTTATTATGGATTTCATTGCCAGAGTAAAAACTATTTCCAATAAAACCATCTATTTTGTTTATTATGGATCTACGAACACTGCAAATGTGTAAAATTTGCAGTCTAGTTAATGCTTTCATACCAGATGAAAGTCAAACACTATACTGAATCAACGATGCAAATAGATAGAAATGAATTTGTATGAAATAAATAACCGAGCAAACTAATATATTGATTTCATACATTATACTGAATAATTATGGTCAACTTGTAACGACAGTATTTTTCTAATCTCCGGAACATAAAAAACAGTTAGTTATTGTACTTGACAAGGATGAGAGAGAAGAAGGTTTAGAGGCAAGATCAGAAACACTAGATGTTGCAGTAGTAGGAGCAGGAATGTAATTATTATAGTTACCATTACTCATATGAAGAACTTTGGCCATTTTTTTCATTGTTGCATCCAGCTTGGAATCAGTCATCTCTAATTCATTTCCAAATTCATCTAGCATACTGAAATATATAAGAAATATATAATATTACATACATTTGTATTTATAAAATAATTTCAATAAAGATAAAAAACATCATTTATCCATACTTACACTGCTTGTTCATCTAATTCTGTATTGATTTGCCTAGATACTGTCTTAAGGGTTCCAATACTTTCACCAATCATACCTAATTGTTCATCTTGTTGTCTTATCATGTCATCTTGTTGTTGTAATGTATCTCCCAAAAACTGCCTATTAGGACTATCAATTTCATTTTCCAATTTACTATACTTAGTTGTACCATGATTGACAGGAACTCGGGCAGGACTATTGTCCAAAAGTGGCTGTGATATTAATAACAAGATTAAACATAATATTTAAATGGATATATATAAAATTTTTAAATAAACAATTGGTAATTTGTACATAATTACTATACACGGTATTAACAAAGAAACCTAAAAACTCATGAATAATCCGATAAATATATCAAAATCTACGTATATAACGCTTATAACGATAGGAATAACATTTTATGAACTCGTTTTATATATGATTAATGATAAGAAGTATTGATTTACCGAATAAACCATCTTTTTTCCGTGGACTTATTAAAATATATTTCAACTATATTTCAAATAACCGCGCTATTATTTGTAAAACTATGAAAAAAAATGTGACATAAATAAAAAAAGAAAACTATATGTTAAACACTTTTTGACAACACTGCTACGACCACTATGACTAAACGTTCGGAACTGATTAGCATTATCGGCGATTTGGCAGCTTCGCATAGATGTCGCAACGTAACAACTTTAGTTTGCGAGCGAAATTTAAATACATCACTAGCAAGCGACTAATATTAACATCTGTTTCCAATATTACATTATTGAATTAATGCTATAAAATGTAAAATACGAATGTTACTGATTTTAGATACTAATACTAATCTACGACTTTAGTAATTGTTAGTCCCGGCGGATTAATGAACAACGCAATAATTTGATAAATTGCTTACATGTGTATAATACGTATTTGAGAAATAAAATATTAAAAAAGTGTCTCCTTGCGTTTCTATACTTATTAGCTACAAATATAACAATTTCTAAATTTGTAATAATTACGAACCTGCCTCGCTGTACTGTCACGATCCCGACCCCTACTTAAATTCATTTTATCCTTCATGATCTACAACAAATCATTTAAAATAATTATTTAAACGATGGAAAATAATTATTTATTCTTGAATAATATTTTGATGAATTTATCGAGAAAGATTAATTTATCTAATTTCTGATAAGAAGTATGTGGTAAGGTCACGTATACCATTGGTATTACCTTAACTTCTTCTCGTGCTTGTTCAATAAAACCTCGTTGGACTGTTAACTCCTTATTATCTATCTTAAACTTCGTCGGGTTCTTCTCAACGATACGTATAAAAAGATACGCGTATAGGTTAAGAAAAATATAGGACATATATGCAGAGTTCAAAATGCGCGCTAAAAATGACTGGAGAATACACGTTCCTAGTTGCGTCGTTACCGCCATATCTAACTTAACGCAAGAGCGATTTATTTAAAAAAATTATAAAAACAACAATTTTATTAAACAATCTAAACAGGATTACAAGAGATCGCTCGGATTGCTACAGAAGATTATTCGCATTAATTGTTAGATAACTACAAACTCGTGTACGGTCAACATCCATCTGTGTTCAATGAATGGTGTTGACGAGTACAATTGTAAGTCTTCCGTACGAAGCAGTTATGTTGTGCGATTGAAATATTGACAAGACTGATCACGACACTTTACATCTAGCAATGGGTATTACCCGAGTAATCTCCTCCGATCGTCATCAACCATAGATGTAATATAAAATTTAAAAATATTTATCTTTTTTTTTAAATATATTCAACAGAAATGAATTTTTAGAAAATGTGATTTATGATCTATTTGCAATTTATTTTCATCCCGCGAATGTTAATAATGACCGCTTAAGACAAATTCACGCCAAATATTTTTTCGAGTCCGACACTATGTATAAGTTCCATAAAACTTGGAGGGTGTCACATGGTTATTTTGACTCTTGTAACTAACATACGCGTATACATATATATAAATATATTAAAGGATATGAATTGTATCGTCCAAATCATCCAAATCCCATTCAATCGAACGTAAGGCCTTCCGCAGTTCTGTAGTAGTCCACTCTAATTCGTCACGTGAGATAGGGATTCCACCACTCGTTGGACTCGTGACAATAACATCTTGCAATTCTGTCCAGCGTCCATATAAACCGCGATTTTTATTCAACGCTTTACAGACCTCGCTAAAATCGCAAATAAAATCGTAAATAGTTTATATTTTCAAAACATTTACTTGCTGAGAACTACTAAATATTTCTTTTTAAATGAATTACGTTATATATTATTTACTGAAATATATGTATAGCGAAAAACATGAGTTCACTCTAAGATATATAAAGATATTAAATATCTTATACAAGCATTATGTAATCAAGGAAAAATTCTAGTAAATACGAGATAATTTTATTGATCTCAAATAAATCGAAAACTTTCACATATTTCTTCAAAACTGAATAACATCTATTATCTTTTATTATATACACATAATAAGTGTACAGCAATATATAGCCAAAATAATTCTCCGGTATTTTCACTCGAAGAATTATCGTGTTTTGATAAAGAAGACATCGATTTATCTTCCACTCTCATTATTTATTTACAGTATTTATATTGATTATACAGGAAAATGATAAAGCACATAAATAAATTGTTTGTTTTATAAATAGAAATCATATTTTGACATTCCTCCTTAATGTATATTTAATATTTCAATAAAATATTTAAATGATAAAGTTGAGAATATAAGGGATCAATGCCAATTCTGATAAAAACCGAATACAATAGATATAGAGAGATAAATATGTATGTACATGGAAAGAAGATAAGATCTGAAGTATCGCAATTTATATGTATTGAGATAAAACTTTACTTTGTTACAAAAAGAATGCAATAACTGTTATGTATGTTTGAATGCGGTTAAAAATGCGAAAAATAAGGTTTCCGTGTAATTCAGTTCGGGACTATTCTTAAGTACTGGATGCATGTATGTATATCTACAACAATGTCGCGAGAGAAACAACAAAAGTTCGAATTTGACAGCGGTGTGAATTTTTCGACATCGATATGACTACCTTATAAATAATTCGTACAATTACTGAGATGGTATTTGAAAATATTTGCGGTAGCAGAAAATTTTCACTTACTCCTTGACGACAAAGAACGGATTCTCCAGCGTCATTCCTTCTTTTAATTTAAAGAGGTGGCCTTTCTCGCCGCCTCACGGCAACCACAGGAATACGAATGAGCGATTTGTCGATCATCGGTAGAAATTCCGAATGATCTTAACAGAAGCACTGATACTCGCGGAAAGGATGACAATAATCAAATTGACACTTGCTCGCGCTTCAATGTGTTATGCTACCACGACGTCGTAGTGTATTGTGACGTCTGCTTCGGCTCTTTCTCTCTCTGCAGACGACTATTTATTCGATTTTAATGTTCGTGCGCAAACACGCCTCTCTAAGGGCTACTATGATATTGATTTCGCGACGGAAGGCTTAAGGTGTGGTTCACAGTCCTTCAGACATTATCTAGCTAATAGTTGAAGCGCTAACAAAATATAAACACCGAACAATAAAACGTTATTTCTAATAATGTCCTGTGTAAGTCTTACAATTGTGTTTCAAGCTCGGTACTGTCTCTTATTCTTATTAAAATTATTTCGTTATCAAAAATAGTTTCCTATCTGTCTTCTTTGACTAATTCTTGCTCAGTAAGGGAGTCATTGTTTGCGCGCTAAAATTTTAAGAACATATATATTTGCAATTATGAAAATGCTTTTAAAAACGTATATAATTATAAACTCATATATAATATAATATAAGCTCATTATAGTTTCTCTATATAATAACGTACAAAAATTATATAATACTGCACGTTTATTCCATTTTCAATGCTTCAATCAATCTACCATATATATTAAGATTGCAAACTTTAGTTTATTTCACAATTAACTATCATTTTATTCAAATGTTTTTTCTGTAGTAGAT